ACCCACATAGCATCTTCAATCAGACACAAATACAATATTAAAACAATTTTACGTTATGATTTAATAGGTTGTGTGTCTATCGTTTTTTTTTCTGTCTGTATCATATATATCGGAACAACTGTTTGTCAAAAGTACTTAATAAATAACATAAAAACAAACATGATGTTTTAAAATATTTCTTATCCACGTTAAAAAACTATTAGGGAAAACAAAATGAATATTTGCTGTATATGAGAAATGTTCGAAACCTAACATTCATTCATGAATTAATTAGACTGGAATAAAAATTAGCCATCTAGAAAGAAAAATCTTTAGCACCTAAAACCCCTGATTATACCTGTGATCAAAAATACTATGTGATTTCTAATAGATGGTTGATTCTCAAAAAAATAAAATACACATGTCTCTTATCAACTGTTTTAAGCTTGTCATTGACACGCTACGAAGTTCTCCATTTTCCTAATTCATAATATCTGAATTGATTCTTCTTTGAAAAGACTCATCGAAATAAGTGATGAGATCCTTTCGCAAATTAAGAATTATTAATTAAATGAAAAGAGAGTATAGCAAATATTTTACACTCAAACATAATATTAACATTATGATGTTGCTTATGTAAATTATCATACAGAAATTTGATAATTTATTTCAATTTATGTTCGATAAATTACGAAAAGAAAAAAACATTTATATTTATAATAAATATAAATTATGAGAAATTTATATTTATTGTAAAGTAAATGGTAAATGACACTCCTATTAAAGCATCATGAGTTCTTGTTAACACAGAATGAAAACTGTTCATTTGGGTTTATTAAAATTCTTATCTTTCTATTAATTAGGATCATTGATTTTTTGTTGATTCCTAATAAAAAATATACATTAAAAATAAAATAAAATATTATCTTACAAATATCTATTTAATCATTAAGGATAATTTTGTATAAGAAGATCAATCATTTTATTTAGTTTTATATATAAAAATATATTAACGATAAGTAGAAGTGACATTGTATAAAATTACAAAGACATGGATTTTGAAAAACAATTTATATAAATATTTACATAATTACACACAATGGTATTAAGAAAGTATTTCTTGGAAGTGTTAAAACAAGATGGGAACCCAGATAAAATAGTTCTTTTTTTTTTGGAAAATTATTTTAATATAAAATTAATATATTTGCTACTAATTTGATCCTGAGTTAGTTTTTCTTGTTGGGAACCTGTTGCTAAATCACTTCTCTCTTGGTGTGGGTGTGGGTGTTCGTTCGACTCATACTCACATCCTACCCACACCCACAGTTGTTATTCATTTTCACGTCGAAGATTGATGAAAAATGATCTATAAATATTTGCATAAACAGCAAAAATAAGCGATTTTCGCTTATATATCCCATTTCTTGACTTGATGCCCGCTTCTTTCGAGGACATATTTTTGGTAGAGCACGAAAACTTGCATCGAACTGATAGAGTCTCAGTTAGGTTCAAACGCATTCAGTGCACTGAAAGGTCTAGAAAGAGAGAAGCCTATTCTTACCCTATCGAGATTCTGATCGTATTTCGCTGTTATAGGCAGCTAAGCATTTCGAATGCTTTCTATTCATCCAGATTTGGATAGAGTTTGGAATTTTGCATCTAAAAATGCTTTTCTAGTCATTCTAGAAACTAGTATATGTGAAAGAAGGGTCAAAAACCCGATTTGGACCTCAAAATTCACAGGTTGGAAAAATGGTCTGATTTTTCAGCACTACGTTTTTGAACTTCAGGGTAGCGATATTCGTGATCAGCATCACCGATTTGTTATTTCTGGTCACTTCTAAGAAAAAAATGTCGAGAAAATGTTTTTCGAAAGCCCATGGAATACAAGGGTAAAAAACCTGGATATGATTTCAAGGAAAATCCTCATGCTAGATTTGTAGCCCATATGGATCTTGTAACACTCGTATATTAAGTTCTTGAAATTATAGGGGATGAAAAGTAGCCTTAATGTCCTTCGTCCTTTATCTTCTAATAATAGTGCATCATCTACAGAAATGTCAAATGTTAATTTTCGTGTTATTAACCTTTATAGTTGATGTGAATTACAAACAGCATGGGCAACTGATCTAGTTTTAGGTGTTACAAGTCTATCTTCAATAAAACTGCGCCTGAGTGTATTTGTGGATATCGACTTTGTTCTTCTGTTCACACACTCATACATTTCCACTCTTACCTATTTTCATATCAAAATCAAACTCTTTATAAAAGTCTAACCCAACTCAAAATATACAGATATTGAAATAGAAATTTTCGTGTTTATTTTTTAAAGGATTAAGCTATATATCGATGGAGTCTTCCACCTAGTTGTCTGATTCGAAGTTTTCAAAAACATGAGTTTATCATGTGATTTGTATGTGATCAAGAGCAAGAATCTCCTGCTCGAGTTGAACGACAAAATTTTCTATTTCCACGAGGTCTTCGTGTTCCGATTGTAATTTAGCTCGTCGAATATTCAGACCATGTTGCGCATGTTCAAGCGCAATTTTCAAATCACCTTTAGCTCGATAGACTAAACTTAAATTAACCCATGTGGTAGCTGTGTCAGGGTGATTGATTCCCAGTGTGTCTTGTCTCATTTTTAAAGCTTTCTGGAGATAATCCAAAGCTTTTGATAAGTTACCAAGATGGCGGTGCGCTTGACCCATATTATTAAGTACGCGAGCAATGTCGGAATGTTCATCAGTTCCATAGAACTGTCGAAATTGTTCTTTTGCCTGTTCGTAAAGAGGTAGTGCTTCGTTATACTGGCTCTGTACTGCTTTCAAGTTAGCCATGGAATTGTATGTATTGGCAGTGTGTGGATGGCCATGACTATACGCATGTTCATAAATCGCCAATGCTCGCTTCATATGATCAAATGCTTCGTCGTAACGTTCTTGAGAACGAAGAGCAATGCCCATTGTAAACCATGTGCGGCCCATATCAGCATGAGAGGCAGGCAATATTCGTTCGCGGATTTCTTTTACTTTGTGTAGAGTGTCGAGTGCATCTGCCCATCTTGCTTGATTTATATAGACAAAGGCGATTTTCATTTTCAGTTCAGCCACCTGCAGATGATCATCAGGAATACCAGCTAGTTTTAAAGCTTCACTTGATCGCTGATACAAGTTAAGAGCCGCATCATATTCTCCAATTTGATCTTTGATCGCACCCATATTGTGAAGAACGTTCGCTAAATCATCATAATAATTTATTCGAGTCGTGATATCCGCTGCATGCTCAAATGCAGTAAGCGCTGGCTCCCATTTCCCAGCCATCATGAGCAATACACCTTTGTTGTTCATTGTCATGGCTATATGATAAGGCAATGCCGGTTCTTGCTGCTGAAGAGCTAATGCCGAATCGAACCATTGAAGCGCGCGCTGATAGTCACCCTTTTGATACCAAGCATGACCAATGTTATTCATTGCTAAACCACGATTGATTCGTGATAGAACTGTTAACTCATCTAGATGATAAAAGAAAACAGCATTTGATAGCTGTATTGATCATATGAAATAAGAACCAATGCTTGTGCTCACAACGTAATCCCAATATAAAAGACTAACAGATCATTCAAATTGATCGATACAGAGGCCGATAAAAAAATCATTCAGACTTCAATAATGAGTGCGGATATTTTGATTATAGGTGGCACTTTAACTCGGATTTTTTAAAGTTAAAGTGCCACCCCTAATTTTGATTCGCACTCGTGAAATTACTTATATGTAATTCTTTGCTCATCTTGTAAAAGCTGAAGTAATCTGAATGGTAAAATAAAGTTGAAGAGAATATACATGAAGGTTATCTAGTTCATATTTACTATTAAAGACAAGGACTTTTGCTGATCCAATCACATTCTGATAAAACTTGTAAACGTTTGTTTTATATGAAATGCTCGAATTCCCTTTTTCGATATTAATGAGGATCACCTAGTTCAAATAGGTTTACTTCAATAAATTGTGGAAGAGAGTAATTTTCATTATCAGAATCCGTCGCCAAAATATGGGTCTTAAAAAACAGTCCCTTATAATTATCTGTTTCAATCAAAAACTGAATGTCTCACGTTAGAAAACTGGATTTTCTCTTGTGTAGGCTCCTAAAGACTGCATTATTTTTCAAGTGTTTTGAATTTTAGAGTGCAACTATTCATAGCTTCAAAAGCATATGGATCGATACTCGAATGATTCCGAAAGGCTTTCGAGACTGCAGTCCAATATGCAAGACTTTGCAATAATAGGAGCGAAAACACATGCGATGTGGCATATATTCAGACAAAAGAGTCCTAAATTGGAAATTTTACAACCAAAAAAGTCAGATACTTAATGCAACACGATCTGAAGTCTATATGATGTTACCTTAGTTGTTGAGATTTTACAACAGCATTATATCCTTGGCACGGCGGACTTTTGTTGAGTTCAACTAACTCGAGAATGATTTCACTTTTATTGAATCCGCGTTTCCGATGGAATTTTTTAAGAAATTTTCATTCAAACTTCTCAGTTTGTTTTGAAAGATAACTTAAACGACAATGATAAGTAAACATTTTCAGTCAATAGAGGGATAAGAAAGATCGCTTTAAAAAAACATAGAAAAAAAAGAAATAAGATGAAAGCAAAACATATAGGTGTTCTATCTGTTTTTGAAGGAAATGTGATCAGTAAGGTACTTATCTAAAATACTCTCCAACAGTCGCGATGGGCTAAGTAGGGATGTCACTTTTGCGTTCCGTTCCTAGGAACGGGGAACGCTGAACATCCAAACATAAAAAGACAAGCGAACATATTTAAAAATCTCGCCATATTGAAACAAAGCTGGAAAATGCCATTTTGAGACGCGTTCCCGTTCCTGGGAACGGAATGCTAAAGAACGAAAATGCTAACACCCCTAGGCTAAGAATAGAGAAGAGTTCCACCGCACAATATTGAATTGTTTCCAGCCAAAATCAACTCAATCTGAGCTAAATATTCAACCGAGTCGAGTATTTGTCAAGACTAAGAAATGAATCATAGCCGATAGACGTTTGAACTTACATTTTTGGCTTCCGTTTGATTGACTCAACAGTTGTTGAAAGTATTTAATGGCTTGGGCGGCGTCACCCATATTAATAAGTAATTTTCCAAACAAGATTTCGGCCGATGACTCTGCCAGCTCTCGATTACTGTCT